TTTAATTAATTACCTTTTAATATATCTAATATTCCAGAATATGGAAATAGATCACGACCAGTACCTTTAAAGAAAGAAAAGAATCAATGAATAATTCGTTTATAATGAGATTTTTTATGAGAAGAACATACGTCTAAGTGATTGTTGAATTTTTTCTACTGTTGTTTGACAATCTTTATGAACAGATTTATAATCAATTTGTATTGACTCTGACATTCTTTTAGTATTACTACCATCTGACTGTGGTGAAAGTAAAAATTTCACAACTTTACTTTCAACCATTTCAATATTTTCTTTTTTAAAAAATGAATTTGTTTGTTTACCATCACACCATAATAGACCATCTTTAGCCGAATAAGCCTAATAATTTGAATCAAAAAAATAAGAACTATATATATTAATTTCATTTCAGATGTAAAATGAATGCTAGAAAATCGATAATCTCTCAAATGACTAGTGACCACGTATCAGCTCGATCATGTAACACTAGTGCCATAGTGAAATTCTGTTACGATTTTTTGCATTTTGTTTCTGATACAGTTTTCAAACAAAAACGTACACAGAGCTTCAGAATGTCTTAAATTAACGACAAAAGTACGCTACAAGTATTTTAAGACATCACGCTCTACACGTTCTTTTATGGCAAAAATACAAACTTCTACTTGAAAACTGTAAGAGAATTTTACTACGGTATCAGAGTTACATGGTTCAGTCGGTATAATTCCAATTAGACAGGTTATTTGCTATTCAACATACACCTGTTGTAACATTAAAATTACGTACAATTATTGATTTTGGTGGTATATTGTAATCATAATATTCTCTGTTTGAACCATATAGTGCAAGTCGATGTTCGTCAAAATAATTCCAATCAAATGATGCTAATGAGACACGATATTTTTGCAATGGACCTTAATAGAAAATTATTATTAAACAATTATTTTATTTATTTAGAAAATTAAATCATTTCTGTAATAGAGTTAATGTGTTACTAACAAATTTTAATTAATTCTTACTTCATTCCACGTTTTTACTTACATTGTAATATTCGTTGTACAAATGTATCATTATCTTGCGCTGACATTACTCTTAATTTCGATGAATCACGTACACAATAACCAAGCAAAGATTTGCTAAATATGAGCAAATATTTCAATTATTATGAACACATATATGGGATAACTGCGTGCCAAACATACCGTTTGGACTTAATTTTTTTCGAAAAAAAAATGTGCGTTTAAAATTTTTTCGTCAATTGTGGACGATTCTAAAGGTCCAAGGCACAAGAGATATGAAAGTTTCCAGACTACCACTATCGAATTTGAGTAGATTTCGCAATTTTTTGAAGTTCAAGCCAATTTTGACCTGTCCTTTGCTTTGGCGTAAAACTAGAATATTTAATTAGGAAAGTGTTTTATTAAAAACAGATAGTGAATCAGTGTCTTCCCAGAATCTGATCTACTGATCACCGTTAGTAAAATTGCTCTTTTACAAAGTATCAGTTGGATTAAAAAGTATAACGGGATATTAAAATTTGACTTTGGACCGGAGATCGGAATCTGCTCAATTCCTTCGCGTTTCGATATTTTTTTTCTGGAGGATCCGTAGATATCCGGAATTAGGCGGATCCGTTAATCTCCAGTGACCGGAAATCGGCGGATTCTGTGATGTGCCCTTTATTTTTTTTTTCTTTCC